GGACACTTTTCAGAAAATGAAGCATGTCAAATCATGATGCATAAAGTGAAATGGTGATAAAAAGCACTCCCTAAAAGTTTGCAATTTTTTTTTAATTGTTCTCTTATACCTCAAAGAAGCATGGAGTGACTTTGCTGCTTAAAAAGAAAAGCTTCTTCCAAAGCCAATCTAAAAATGAGGGATCAGGAAGAGTTGTCAGATTGATATTTGTTCTTATCCCTACATATACAGACCTCAAAAACTAAACTACATGTTAAACTCACGTGCACAGTATGACAACAGCTTGAGGGAAGAGGCTACGGTACTGCAGACAGCATTGCAAAACACGATCATCATTGTTTTCATCACTCAAGCCATCTGCAAGATTAGCAACACAATGACTATATGTTTGGAAATAGCCTAACATGAAATATTCTAACGCGTTTAAAATATGGTATTTAAATGCTATATTTGTTCATGCAAAGGGAAGAGACATGAACTAAGCATATGTCTGGAAGCTGACATTTCATGGGTTGCAGTCTTAACTGCTCATTTCTTTGTATACAATTTCAAGTTACTTACCCAGCTCTCCGCACGTTTAGGTCAGTAGCTAAAGAGCCAAGAGTAAACGCACAATCTATACCTAACTTAATAGGATGAATTAAATCCCTACCAGTTATCTATATAGTTTAGAAACAAAGCAGAAATTGCTTATTGCAGTGTTCTCAGATTTACTGATGAAATAGTAAGGAGTGAAATACTTATTATGAAAAGGCATTACTTTGTTAGTCATTCACAAATCTGCTGCTGATTAGAGGCAGTTTTGATTGGACCGATGAAAGATGGCATTATGGCTGCTTGCAGACAGTAAATAAATAAAAAGCAAATAAATACATATTTTTTTTAAAAAGCACTTCAAACTCTGCATGCCCAAAAGAGGCAGCACATTAGCTGGACCTGGCTCGCCCAACATCTGCATAGATCAGGTGCTTTAGTGGGGCTTTTATCTAATAGCTGATTGAACTAACTTTAAATAAAAGCATCAGAAAGCCCCACGGAAGTGCCTGATCTATACTGTAGAGCCAGGTCAGAGTAACGTGCTCATTTTTCCAGTAAAGCGTGGTTTTTTTTTTTTTTTTTTTTTTTGTCTGCAAGTAGCCTATTTTTCAATAACTCACAATATATGCCTATGACAGAAGACTGATAAACACATTAGGTCTGAGTCTATCCTTTACTACAGCAATATGAAACAATGCAATGGGGGAGAATCAGGCTGCTCATGAATTGGTCTGACAACTTCAAATTGTTAGCCAATTTTAATACAGTAACTGCAGTCAAACTGATTTTATGAAACCCAGCAGTAGGTGCTAAAGCTCACACTAAACCGAGCTGTGAGGACCATACAATCCAGTGATAAGTTGCCTCTGTACATAACTTACATATTTTTTGAGAAGCAAGCTGCATAGATTGTCCCCACAACTTTGAATCTTGGTTTTTGAGACAAGTGTAGATGAACTGAACTGCAGGGATAGCTTTGTCTCGAACATGTTGGACCATCTTCCCTTTCTTCAAGTAGTCCAGTTCTTGTAGAACCACCCAGGGAATTATCAATGCAAGTCTGCCAACCCCTAACAAAAAAAAAGAGTTTCTGAACTCCCAGTTCAACTAAAGTAAATTTCATTTAATGCAAACATATTTGTTTCCTTACATAAAACAGCAGATCTCTACATTAGTTGGCAAGAGTCATCTTCTGTACTCAAAAAAGTGATCTGGCATTTAAAAATTAGTCTAAATAATGAATTTCCCTCTTTACAATGTTAAACTCAATCTGGCATTCAATGGGACATTTGTAAAGTAATGATGAACAAATATGTATCACTATATAACATTTTGACAATATTGTGCGACAAGGAGAAGGAAGTTACCACAACCATTAATGTCAGATTACATGCTCACTAGGAAATACTAAAATAAAGCCACAAAGCAGAAGGGGAGAAAAAGTAAAAAAGACTGGCATTATACAAATCAGTGATAATACCACCAGTCATTCACACAGCCATTTATCCGTATTAATTCAACTTGAATGGTTTGCGACATCAGCCTACATTCCTATATCATCAGAAAAAAAACAACAGATACTAGAGTAAGGTTTTATTGTCCTATATTTCATGAATATGTCGATTCCTTTTAAACCTTTCCGTTGTTCAGCTGCATTCACATACCTGGTATATCTTCCGTTTTCAGAGTCCTGATAAACTTTAGATGACTAATCATTATGTTGGTGTCAATCACTATCAAAAGGTTCAAACCAGAAGTCGTATCTGCTGAAGAGGAGAACATGGTTATAACAATTAATTCTTCCGTGATCCTTGCCCAGAACATTTGTTACTTTTAGTGTTGTCAAGATAAAAGTAGACACCAGAATAATCTCATAATTCTTGCAGATAACATACCAGCAGAAATATTTGCATCTTGTTCTGGAAGATCTATTTCCATACTGGTTAGCTCTCCACAAGTCTGTACAACTGGCAAAACCATCTTTCTGTCAATACGAGCAGCATGCAAGTCTTCTATTATCTGCATCTATTGTTAAAAAAAGAGACACTGCAACACACCCAAATATGTAAAGTCCAAATTTAATTTGCAGCCACATTTCTGTATGAAGCTGATAGGCTCGTTCTTCTCCTGACTACATAGGCTGAAAATTCCCTGCTAACTACAATTCTTAAGAAATGGTTGTCCATCTTCACTGAAAAACTAAGCAGATGTTGGAAAATAAAGCTGTTGTGGTCTACATATAAATGCAAGGCCCCACAGCCAATAGAAGGTGAAAAACTAAGCTATGACATGTAAGTATGCCTCTATCAAGCACTTCCTGAAAAAAACAACCTCTAACTGGGTTTGTATTAGTACTTGAGGGTAAAGAGAGCCATCAGGAATAAAAGATACCACACCAATAATGTAGAACATCATCCAAGGAATTATATGACCTCAGATTCATACTTCAACAACCAAGATATTTAACAAAAATACTATAGTACTGGGGTGGGCAAAATGCGGCCCGCCAGGTCATTTTATCCAGCCTATGAGGCCCTGAAAAAATGTAGAAAATTAATATTAACCTGCCCTGGGCTGCCTGCCACGTGACCCTCGATGGCTTGCCAAAACTCAGTAAGCAGCCCTCCACCCAAAATAATTACCCGCCCCTGCTACAGAATTACTAACCTCTTGGTCTGTCTCTGAATTCAGACTGGCTTCAGGGGAGGCAGAAGAACATGGAACTTCAAAGCTCTGTAGAGAGAAATGAAGGTAAAAATACAAAACTTTTAGAGAACTTACTGATTCTGAATTTAACAAATCAAATAGACAGATAACTAAAAAAATATTCTTTCTGACTTGGTGAGAAAATTAGTATTCATGTATTCTAGTTTTGCAATAGCATGACAAAAAGTTGAGGAATTTGTTTGACATAGTAAAAAAGACTACTAGTCTAATGAGATCAGAGTGCAGGAGACACAAACATTTACATTTAAAAAAGCCTTTTTAGAAACATTAAAACCTTTTAATCAATTCAGGGTCACAAGTCACCAGAGGTTTAACAAGATGCCCTGAAGCTGATCTACAACTATAGTTCAACCCTGATGTATACCACCACTGTGTTTATTTCAGTTTGTGCAAATTCAGCTGAGAATCCCATTGATTAAATCAGGCTCAAATTAATCTTAATTGTGGCCAGACCAACTTGAATTCAGATATAAAGCTGAAACTATCATAAAACAAGCATTTATTTACTACTGAAATAGCCAGAGTCTTTTTACTTCACCTGTTTTAAATGCAATGGTTTAACTTCAAGGTTCCTTTTTTCAGTCTTCGAAGTACCAGCAGTTTTGTTGGACTCAGCCTGCTGTTTTGTCTGCTTATGATATTCCCATCGTTTAGGTATTTCAGTCGAATAACATGATGGTTTATATTTAATGGCGTTATGATTTTTGTTAGCTAATTCTTTGCAGCTTCCTAGACTTTCTTCCTTACATATCGCAAAAGATGAGCCCGATGCATTACTGGGGGGGCCATCAACCTTAGTCTCTGGAAAGGTAGAAGACTTTTTTGGAATTCTGAAATCATCACTGCATTTTTTTGAGCTGTAAGACTTCTTTCTTAGTAGATGAGGCTGACATGCAGCAGTCGTGAACTTTTCCAACATAGTCTGCTCAACTCTAGCCTTCAGTTTGTTGAGCTCAGCTTTCTCTTTCTTCTTCTTCATTAGCTTGTCCTTTTGGACAGCAAAACTAGGCCGTATCTTTCTCTCTCCTCTTCCCTCAAAGTGCCGGTCTTTGTTACAGCTTTTCTTGCTATCAGGGGCCACACCAGAATCACAGGCATTTTTTTCATGTTTAGTGTCTTTATGCTTAAATTGTATAGTTATCTTCCCACGCTTCCCAGATAGGATTGAAGAATCATTGGTGGTTTTGGTACTGTTTGAAGACTCCCTCTGAAATCTTTCATCAGTGCTTTGTGAAACATAACTTTGGTTTTGCTTCTCTTTCACACTATTATTGACTTTGAATCTATGGAAGTGGAACACAAAAGTCACATTATAAACACACCTTACAGCAGGGCTATTCAACTTGTAAACAGCTGCAAGCCACACTGCCCCATGAGCATGGCAGGAAGTTGAAGCTGAGAGAGGGAGACAGAGCTTGGAGCTTCCTATAGCCCTAGGGTGTGAAGCAACAGCAGTAGCAGGAATAGACAATACAGGGAGGCAGCAACAACAGTAGGGAGTGACACCCAGACCTATGGAGGAAGCCTTGGGAGCTGAGGATGTAAAGGCAGCAGAAGCCAACAGGCTGCAAATTGGAGCCCACAGGCTGCCAGCTGAACAGCCCTGGGACACTATACCTAAGGCAATAGAACCAAAAACTAAGGGAGTCTGTATACAATTATTACTATACATTTATAATCCAGGCTGTTTGAATTTGGAATTTCTTTAATTTACAGTGAATTCATGGCAAGCTGTCCTTTAAAAGTGACAACAGTCTTACTTATTTTACACCATGTATAACTGTGCTAGCTGTCTAATGCTGGCAGATCTTGTCTGTATGGTACCAGCTACTAACTCCAAGGATTATAACATAATAGTGCCCTCAATGGTGCAGAAACAAAGTTCAGTCTTGCTGCACTGATGAGACTGAACAGCACTTCAACCACATTTCTGAGCTGTACACGGCCTGCTGAAGTTTAAACACACAGAAGCTAGATTCCATCTGCACTGCACTGCAGAATGTACAGTGCTGGTTAGTGTGGGTGTGACATTAGCCTACCTATTTATGTCTTACAATTCCAGTTCTGCACAAATTCTGTCATAACTAAAAGTCTACAGTAAACAATCTGTAGTGCTACATTTTAGGGTAATAGTGTTTTTACTTTTTAAAAATGTATACATTATTGTAAACCATTTTGAAACCCTCCTCTCTCATGCCTGCACTTGCCTCACTGCAGAGGGGTAAGATACCTACAGCGAGGCTATGTCCAAGCTGCTTAGCTCTAGGGTAGGGATGGGCAATTATTTCGGCTGATGAGACACTTAATGAGTTCTGGTGAGCTGTTGAGGGCTGCATACACAATCTTTCAGAAGATATTATTTTAATAAATTATAGATAAAAAAAATTGTTAGGGTTACAGCATTTGGATCTTGGGGAGCATTTGATCTGCAACTGAATAAAAGTCTATAACCTGTGGCCTAGCAAGCTGCTAACCACAAGGCAGAATGGTATATTAAAAGTAACATTGCAAGATGTTTAGGCAAGCATTTTCCTAACAATATAGTATTGTTATAAGATATATAGGTCATTGTGTAAGAAAAACAACATGCAGACCACCAGCTATAATCAGGAGATAAAGCAGAAGTAAGACCTTGGAGATGGTGAAGAAATCAGCAAGAGACCGCAAGTGACTGAGAGAAGCAGGGGTCAGGGTCTTAGGCATGCGCTCATGGCAAAAAGACATGTAAATAAGTAAAATGCATAGGTAATTCCATGCTAATTAAATAAACAGTAAACAGAGGCAGAGCTTAAGATGGGAAGGAATAAGGGTGGAACAAAGGAACGTCAAAGGTGGGGTAAATGTTAATAAGCATAAACCACAGTGTATAAATATGAAAAGAACTAAAGTTCGTGGCTGCTCCCCGGTTTGTTGGAGCTCCTCCGAAGCTCCCTCCATTTTGAATAAAGCTGTTGGAAAAAGCAATGTGTGCACCAACCCGTTGTCTCCCCAGTCGTTAGGCATCACATGGAGCTGGGGCCTAACAGAAATCATATACTATAAATCAAATACCTACTACAGCATATCTTAAATTTTATTTAAAAAATAATATTTGTCCTGACTTATGGGTTTGTTGGGGGGTGGTTTTGGAGTAGTGTATATAGAGGTGATTGCATAATAGTGCAAAATAAAATCTTAACTTTTGCAAACTGTGGAGCCGGGGGGGGGAACTGCCCACATGCTGGGTCCTGGGAGCTGGCTGAAGGAGGAAGGGAATGGGACAGGGGGCATGTCAACAGATCTCACCCAGGTGGTGCCACGCAGACTTAGTGTGGCAGAAGGCCACTTCTGTTTCTCCCCAAAAACTCTGCTCTGTGACAATTTGGTTTATATAGGCCCTGCAGAGGGTACACACCTTGCCCTATCTCTTTAGGTAACCTGAGCTAAATACATTCCTGCAGGAAACCTGCTCCCTCTGCCTATGTGACTGGCATCACATATCCAGGTGAAAGGCTTGGCTCTCTAGTGGGCTACAGACTGCCAGTCTGCCCAGCAACCAGTGATACATTTCAAATTGGTTGACTGACAGCCAACAGGTGCTGGCCTCCATTGGATCAGGTAAATGAGGTCATACAGGCTATATAAGTTAAAGACTGCCCAGGAGGAAGGGGCACCAGGCATGAGGACGACAGAGACACAGAGAAGAGCTGGACCATGTGAAACTTTCTCTCTCTCTCTCTCTCTCAAAACTCATGATCAAGGAACTGCCTGCCTCCAGAGGGAATCTCCATCTGCCTCTGGATGATACTCATGAGTAAGCTACCTGAGATCTAACTAGATATATAGCTTGCAATAACTCAGATGCGTGATCAAAGGCAACTCCAGTCACCCTGTTTGCTCTATGGGATTTCTCTGATCCTACTCAACTCTGTACCATAATCCAACCCTAATCCCTGTAACCAATTAAGTTCTCCTTTGTACCTAGCATGGGAAACTTATTGGGAGTGGGTCTAGATAATGTCTTGGGGTCCCCTTGGTATGGCTGACTAAGGGAGACCATTATTTGTGCTTCTGACTGAGGGAAGCACCCCGAGATCTTGAAGTGAGTCAAGCACACTCAAGGGCTACTAGGCCTTTGTTTCCCAGGGGACACCATGCCAGAATCAAGCCCATCCCTGGGTGGTGGCAGCTCTACCCCGAGGCTAGCAGGCATGCTCCAGGAAGGGGGTCGGCCAGATGCGAGGCGCCCCCAGGGAGGCACTCGGAGCCTGGAAGGTGTTTGGCCGCAGTGAGGTGGGTGGCTCAGCACAGGAGCACCCCCTACTAGCCCACCACAGGGGGAATGTCAACAGAGCTCACCCAGGTGGTGCCATACAGATGTGATCTGACACCCTCTCCTCTCTCTGTTCCCCATCTGGCCCAAATCTACCCCTGCAGCCCTGCCTGCTCCCTCACAGGACAGCCTACACACCACGCTCCCACCCACAATCACCAAGGGTCCTAGCCCCAGCCCTGGCCAGCATACACAGGTGGCCACTTATCCAAGAACCACTCTAATTAAAGGACCCAAAGCATCATGTGCATCAGCATCCCCATGCCGAAAAATGGCAGTGAAGATGCTTTAATTAAAACTCATCAAATAAGCTTTAGTTAAAGTGCTCCTGCCACCATTTTTCAGCACAGGGACGCTGATACATGTGACACTAGAGTCTGCTGGAGCACAGTAATTACCACACTCCAGAGGACTCGTTCCGATGCACTGTAATTACAACGTGCTGAAGCAGCCTCAATGACTGTGTATAGGTGCCCATTGCTATTAGGAAATCCACTACTCAAAATGGAGAGAACAAGAAAAGAACAGAGAACCAATGGAATAATGTCACTGTTCTACTGTTTAAAGTAAAGTACCATGCATTTATGAAGATTAAAACAAAATTAACACCCTAATCTCCCAAATGTCATCATAACTTGACTGGTTTAAGCTAAATTTATCAAAGAATACAAGGACAAATGTTCTACCCTGGAAAAGGTCCCATGCTCTGCCACAAGTCAAACAACATTTTTATTTATAATAATTTATCTCATGGATTTGTTTTTATACTTAGGAACAAAGTATGCATTTACCTTTGAAATTCTAGCTTCTCTTTTTTAAGACTATTAGAAATTCCTGTCCCTCCAGATTTCTGAAAGCAAAAACAATTTTTTACATGTTAGAAATCACTGAATTGCAGTAAAATAAAAATATCTTGATAAAATGAACAGGTACTAGATGTACTAAAATTTGGACCAGCAATCAATGGGTGCCTATACACATGCTTGTTCATGTTCTAATTAGAATGCGTCAGAGCTGATTCAATTAACCCAGGTTCTAATAAGAACACTCCAGCGTCACCTCGCCGTTGCATGTCTGAGGCTCCTGCATGTTTCAAAATGGCTGTGGAGGCACTTTATCTAAAGTCTTCACTAAAGCCATTTTGAAACACGCAGTGCTTAATGTATGTGACAGTGAGCCATTTATTTAAAGCGGCTATCTGGGAACCAATCTAATTCCTGCTCCCCCCGCAAGCATGTGTATAGGCAGCCTATGAAAGAAGCTGCTAACCTGCTCCACTATAATTATTTTTGTTGAATATGCCTTTAATTTCTAAGGAAACATAAGGAACTTAAGAAAGAGGTATATAAGCAGACTTCAGGTTACAAAGACTTCAAAAGACTGGATAGTCATAATTCATTCACATGTATCCAACATTCTATGAGTAAGCCACAATTTTAAGTACAGACATACATTTTTATATAAAACCACACATTTCTTCCAAAAAGAAGCTTCTATCTAATCTAGAAGATATTAGAAGTGCACTGATACATCGGTCCAATATCGGATCAGTACTGATATAAAGAAAACTAGCTGTATCAGATAATTGGCCCAATGGGGGCAGCACTCGGGCAGTGAGGAGCACAGCCATCAACATGGAGAGCTGCCTGCAGCTGGTCAGTCCATTGTGGTGGAAGGGAAGGGACTTGGGGGAAAGTGGGACAGATCAATGCCACCCGTGGTAAGGGAGGGACAGGCACTGCCCACGTGGGGTGGGGGAGAGGGCGGAGCTGCGGCTCATGGAGGGGTGGGGGCAGCTCCTGCCTCTGCTTTCACCCCAAG